AGCATTTAGTCTAGGGTGATTAAGTGGCTTTGAGAAGAGTCTTAAATTGATTTTCAGACTGGGTTACTTAGTATCTTCCGGTAATGAATTCCATATTTTGGGGCCCTTTATGTGCATAGAGTTTTTACTCAGTGTGATATGGATACGAGATATATCAAAAAAGAGATCTGTGTCTTGTGTTATGGTCATGTGTCCTGTTAAGGTTGGTGAGAAGTTTGAGTGGAGGGTTTATATTTGCGTGTATTGTTCTGTGTATGTAGTAGGCACATAATAAGTATGGATGTTCTTAATGGTGAGCAGATTCAGACTTTTGAAAATTGTGAAGTAATCTCCCTCTCTCCTACACACCCTAACCTGAGCCTCACTATCCTCATAAAAACTCTTTACAGCATTTACGTATTAACTTACTACCTATTCTATACACTTGCAACATCTGCCACATTGCTCCCCTATCCACCCTGTTCTCTGTCTTACCTTTAACTTCTTTTAATAATAACCCTACCATACACTTTACCTAGTATACTCAGTAAACTTATACAGTGGAACCTCTACTTGTGAGTTTAATCTGTTCCATGACCTTGCTCGCAACTGGATTTGCTCGTTTGCAGAGTCAGTTTTCCTCATTTAAATTAATTGAAATGCAATTAATCCGTTCAAGTGGAATTCTGTACTTCAATAATTTCGCTAATATCAACACTACGGCTTATTTATCTATCACAATTCATCTAAATTATGGGGAATCAAATACAAAATGGGAGTTGACGCAGTTACTTTTTGCTGATGGTACTGCTCTTTTGGGAGATTTGAAAGAAAAGTTACTAAGGTTAGTGGCCCAGTTTGGGAGAGTCTGTAAAGGTAGAAAATTGAAAGTAAACATAGATAAGAGTAAGGTGATGAGGGCATCAAACGATTTAGATAAAGAAAAGCTGGATATTATATTGGAGGGAGGGAGTATGGAAGAAGTGAATGTTTTCAGATGTTTGGGAGTTGACTTGTCAGCTGATGGGTTTATGAAGGATGAGATGAACCATAGAATTGATGAAGGAAAAAAAAGGTGAGTGGCACATTGAGGTATCTGTGGAGACATAAAACTTTACCCATGGAAGCAAAGAAGGGAATATATGAGAGTGTAGTGGTACCAACACTCTTATTTGGTTGTGAAGCATGGACTGTAAATGCTGTATCAAGGAGGAGGCTGGAGGCAGTGGAGATGTCATGTCTAAGGGCAATGTGTGTTGTAAATATTATGCAGAGAATTCATAGTATGGAAATTAGGAGGAGGCTTGCAGTTACTAAAAGTATTAGTCAGAGGGCTGAAGAGGGTTTGTTGAGATGGTTTGGTCATTTAGGGAAGATGGAACAAAGTCGAATGACTTGGAGAGCGTATAATTCTGTAGGGAAAGGAAGGCGAGGTAGGGGTCATCCTAGGAAAGGTTGGAGGGAAGGGGTAAAGAAGGTTTTGTGGGCGAGGGGCTTGGACTTTAATCAAGCATGCATGAGTGTGTTAGAGAGGAGCGAATAGAGATGAATGGTTTTTGGGACTTGACTAGCTGTTGGAGTGTGAGCAGGGTAATATTCTGTGAAGGTGTCCTGTAGCTCGATCGCTAGGGCACTCAGCTCACACACTGAGGTCTGGAGTTTGAATCTCCTCCAGTATGGCTGGAAAACATTAAGGATGCGTTTCCATAAGACACCTGCCATCCATGTTCACACATCAGTATAAAATGGGTACCTGGGTGTTAGTCGACTGGTGTGGGTCACATCCCGGGACAAAATTGACCTAGTTTGCCTGAAATCCTCAGCACAAGAAGCGGCTTTCTGTATAGTAGTATGTCATTGATGGCAGCTAGGCCTGTATACCATGTACATGTACACCTAGCATCCGACTTACGACCAAGCTTGGTTCCGACCAACCGGCTGTAAGTCAAAATGGACGTAAGTCGAACCTTTGAAAATTGCCGATGTACTGGGTAGGGCATAATGTCAAACTTTTCCTATATAAACTACCTACATAGCACTGTAATGTAATGTACAATCATTATTTCATTGTTTTTACCATAATTTACTTCTGTTGTTATATTTTAATTATTTATGTACTGTATATAATGTATACATGATAGTGAACTGTATTGTAAATTTTACATCGCATACAGTATCATATGTTAATGTTATCTTTATGTATTGTCGACACAGTGAATGGGAGAATACCACTGGTAGTGTCATCCTGCCAGAATGTAGTATAACCTATACCTGGAGTTTACCTGGAAAGAGTTCCGGGGGTCAACGCCCCCGCGGCCCGGTCTGTGACCAGGCCTCCTGGTAGATCAGAGCCTGATCAACCAGGCTGTTACTGCTGGCTGCATGCAAACCAACGTACGAGCCACAGCCCGGCTGGTCAGGAACCGACTTTAGGTGCTTGTCCAGTGCCAGCTTGAAGACAGCCAGGGGTCTGTTGGTAATCCCCCTTATGTATGCTGGGAGGCAGTTGAAACAGTCTCAGACCCCTGACACTTATTGTATGACCCTTAACTTATTGAGTAGGCATCCATAACAATGGACCATGCACGCTTCCTTGTGAACACTTGCCCCAATAGATTCTTGCTGATTCCTTCCATGGAACACACTTGATCTACCATGAGGTGTACTGAGGGACATAGCGTAGAGCCGCAATTCCCATGCTTGAGTTTTCTAAAGGCCCTGGTGCCACACCCGGTCGAAAGCGCATCATATCCTAGTGCTCAACGAGTGACTTGGATTCATCAGTAGCTGGTGCACTTGTGCACATATCTCCTCTCCTCTCACTCTCTCTGTAAGCTCCTCTCCTCCCCTCTGTATCTCTCTGTATTCTCTCTCTCCTCGCTGATTCTCTCTCTCTCTCTGTACTCCTCTCTCGTCATCTCGTAATCTCTCTCTCTCTCTCTGTATCTCTCTCTCTTCGAATCTCTCTCTGTATATTCTCTCTCTGTATCTCTCTCTCTCTGTATCTCTCTCAGTTCTCTCTCTCTCTCTCCGTATCTCTCTCTCTCTCTCTCTGTGTATCTCTCTCTCCTCTGTATCCTCTCCTCTATCTTCTCCTCTGTATATCTCTCTCTCTTTACTCTCTCTCTCTCTCTCACTGTATCTCTCTCTCGTCTCTCTCTCTGTATCTTCTCTCTCTCTCTCTGTATCTCTCTCTGTATCTCTCTCTTCTCTCTCTCTCTCTTCTCTCTCTCTCTCTCTCTGTATCTCTCTCTCTCTCTCTCTCTCTCTGTATCTCTCTCTCTCTCTCTCTCTCTCTCTCTCTCTCTGTATCTCTCTCTCTCTCTCTCTCTCTCTCTCTCTTCTCTCTCAGGTACACGTAAGTAAAGTTATCATACATAGTATAAATTACCTAGGATAACCCAAAAAATCCAGACAAAGTGCTATACAGTGGATCTGTGCTCCAGTGCCCTAAATTAATAATAATAAATTAATTATTTTAATTTATTATTATTTTATTTTATGTTCAATAATACATAGGGTACCTAATATTAAAAGCTCAAGATTATTAACTCTAATTAATAATAATCGTGTCCGCTCATTACTTACCTTAAAATATCTGTAGTCTTAATGTAGAGTGAGAGGTGAGTAAACAAGATTAAATGAATAAACGAATGAGAGTGTAGAAGGTTGGCGAGTTATGTAAACAAACGTTGTTGTTGTTGTTGTTGTTACCAGCCCGGACACGAATGGTTTCTGTTCACTATGTCAAGCGGACCAGAAAAAATCTCATATTTGTTAATTTATATGTTTATATGTTATGTAGCCTGTTTATTATAATTTTGAAAAAGAAATCATAGATGAATTAAGCAAAATGTCTATATCAATGTTTTATACACATTTAATGCACCTCAGTGATTATTGTTATTATCATTATTAATATGGCATCTTCAAGACCAATTTTACACTTAATGAGTGGCTCTGAGACAAACAAGCAGGACGGGTAGAAAAGACAGACACAGGTAGCCCAAAAGAAAGGGAAAACAGACCAAAAGGTAGACAGAAAGACAGACACACAGGTAGACAGACAGATAAACAGACACACAGAGATACATACACAGATATACAGGCAGACAGATACAGACAGGTTTATGTGCAACAGTGAAAACAAATAGAGAGTTCGAGAGTAAGAGCCTTTCTTGCCACAATCTCCAGTGCAAGATTCAGACTTCATCTTAGGGGCCATGGTGAAATTTACTATCCAGTTAGTTCAATTAATACAGTATGATGCTGCTGATAGGGCAGGGTTACTCAAACTGATGCTGCCTGCATGACGCATTGCCGCCACTAGTATTGTCAAATATTGTACAGTGGTGTGCATCAGCCGGCCCAGCCCAGCTGCCAGATGCACGGTCGTAAGTCGAGTGAACGTATGCCGAGCAGGTCGTAAGTCGGATGGTAGGTGTACTTGTAGTAAATAAAGATATTATTATTATTAGTATTATTATTATAAGGGATTCAGGAAAACCGGTTAGCCAGACTGGAGTCCTGGAGGTGGGAAGTACAATGCCTGCACTTTAAAGAAGGGGTTTGGGATATTGGCTATTTGGAGGGACATCTAAACTGTTGTATTTGAGCGCCTCTGCAAAGACAGTGATTACAGTATATATGAATGATGGTAAAAGTGTTGAACAATGATGAAAGCTCTTTCTTTCGTTTTGGGTCACCCTGCATCATTGGGAAACAGCAGACGTGTTAAAAAAAATTAAATGTGTGAATCAACTAGAAAGTTATTAATCACTTCCAAATATTAGTAAATCCTTGATTTAATGGAGAATTTAGTGGGGAGTAGGTCACTGGTATTGCCAATTGTGGTAGATGGGGATGACATTGTTTTACCATAATCATAACAGTGGACAGACTTTGAATCAGATGACTCAGCAGATTTTGTCTAGTACTATTTCTGAAATTATTAAATCAAGGTACATTAAATCAAGTGTTTGCTTATGTACTGTACTTTACTTATTTTCATTTATTTTCAGTTAAGACGAGAGTATGAAGCAGAAAAGCAAAAGGTAATACAATCCACAATGAAGCAGGTAGAGAAGGAGGTGGATAGAGCTAAGGAGGAGTACAGAGCTAAGATCTCTGAAATTGAAGACAAGCACAAACATTTGGTATCTGATACCAAGAAAAAACAGTGGGTATGTATACTAATTATTGTACAATGATACCAGTGTTCTGTGATATTTAACATTATAGTCACTTCTCTTATAATGCTCTTCTATATTTTGTGATTTTTTTTTAAAAATGTGATTGAAAAGTACATCCAAAATTTAACAGCAATGAAAAGACTCACATAGTACATGCTGTTCAATTTGGGATGCACTTTTTCAGTTACATTTGCAAAAAATTGCACTGTGTAGGCTAACTTTATGATCATAGCTTGGTTTATTGTAAGCGAACCTTTATTCTCCATCTAAGCAGTATTTATATAAATGCACAAAAATCAGACATTTATTCCATGCTTCTATATAGCATACATCAAAAAAATTCTACTCCATTTCTTATCCTTGAAGTGTTTCCTTTACAATTCCATAGAGAAACTGGCTAGAGTTCTTTTGTCCTGATGAGAAACTATGGTAGAGTATGTTGTAGACAGTGCACCTTATCAATTCTGGCTTGACCACAACATGAATAATTATTGAAGTAAAAGCACTGCTGAGAAAGTTTTTATTGAGGCTCCTTCACCCTCTGTGTGGAGCTTTAATTCTTCTAAAAGCTTGTTTTGCCACATGTGTTTTCTTCACTATTGTCCCCAGCATGACATCTAGATAAAAGAATAATATTCCCTGTATTGTAATCAAAATAACTTTTAAATCATTAAATATGTGAGATTTAAGTTTATTATTTTTTTACATTGCCAGTGCTGGACGTGCGAGGCAGAGGCAATCTACCATTGCTGCTGGAACACTGCCTACTGCTCTATTGAGTGTCAACAAATTCACTGGCATAAAGAGCACAAAAAACTCTGCCGCAGAAAGAGGTAACTTTGTGCATTTAGGGGACAAGTTGAGGGTGGAGAAATGAGAGAATATTTTTTATGGGTTTTTGACAAATTAAATGTCAGTCTGTGCTATTAGAGTTTGCATGGTTACAAAGTTTATTACTGTACACCAGTTGTAAATTTTTTATAAAATGGGATAACGTGTAATATGTGGAATGTGTGATTCTTTTAAATGAGAATCACTCACTAGGTTAAGGCTATCAGAATGTAGCAAGAAATTGTCCACTTTACTTTTATACTGTAAATAGCACCCTCCATGTATTATCTTTGGCATGGTTTTTGAAGCTGCTGGTGACTCAGCCACCTGCTATGAGGAGCGTCAAGTGTTGCAGAGATACAGTAGGTGAAGGACACTTGTAATGGAGCTTGGCTTGGAGATTGCAGCCTCCTGATACTCCTCTTGGACACAACCTGCATACTTCTGGTGACTTGTTTTCTGTTTGCAGATAGTATTTGGTATCATATTATTTTACTGTAAAATAATTTGGTTATGAATAGTGCTTTTTTCATGAAGGCATGTCTTACACATAGCTGCTAAGTGTGTTAGACAATGTGAAATTTACCTCCACCAAATGTACAGTGCTCACTAGTTAGTCGGTTTTGCAGTGTGTGCGTGTTTTGAACTGATTCTGTGCTCAGCGATCAATCTGCCCGGTCATGTATAGATTTTTTTATGTGGATAAAACAAGAATATATATAAGTGTTGGTAGGAATATAGAGAAGACAGCTTGCTGGCAAGCATAAAAATTTATACCCTACCTTCATTACCATGCTTATAAAGTATAGCCAGGTTAAATAATGCACAGATGATTAATGTGTTTGCCAGCAGATCCACTCATTGAAGATCCACTTAAGGAAGTAAAATTCAGTTGCATTGTATATGTAACTACCATATTGCTGACATGTAATTGAGTTAACGTTGATTCTCACATCTTTCTATTCACTCCAAGCTGCTGCAGTTATCCACTGAAGCAAAATGTTTATTAAATAATGTTAATTAATGTCTTTTCTGTTTTTTGAAAATTAATTTTCAAGAACAATACTGTACTTTGTACTGTACTGAGTTGTTCTCAAGTACACCACCTAATGATAAATCTTCTGTGAAGAGTGATCTTTTGGAGCTGTAGATTATTGTGCTTTGGTTTCTTATATGTTATTATAGAATATTGAAGAATATATTGATTTTAAACTTATTAATACATGTTTATTTTACAATAGGCAGCTTTTTGTTATTTGTGTGTTTGTAATTACAGTCATTCTTGGAACTCTAATGTATCACCTTTTAAAGTGTAGTTTTGGAGTCACTGTTGTTGACATTATGGTACCATTTTATTAGAGAACTTTTATTTAATGAGTTTTTAGTTATAATACAGTATACATGCAATACCTGTACTGTGTTTAGTTTCAACAGAGCAGTAATATTTTATATCTTTTTTATTTTTTTAGGATATAATTTGATTATAGTAGGTAATGCTAAAATATCTTTTATCATATCTATATCAATTATTTTTCCACAGTGTAAAATGGTTCTTTTTATAGTGCAATTAATGGATGATATAAGTTAACACTTTACCCAATTTCCTGAAGCCAACCCCATTTGCTGAACCACTATTATTCTCCTGGGCAAAATAATTAAAGGAAAAATATATCTCCTTGGGGTTTACATGACAATCTGACTAGATATAAGCATTTCATAGCATATACTACAATATTCAAGACCACATATAGTAACCTCAAAATTCAAAGTGTGATATCACTTATATGTATGGTGTGTTATCCTAATTAATATAACAGGAATCCTTTGATTTAATGTTAATGATTAGAATTAATATTTTGTTAATATTTGTTAACATAATAGCATTTTGATTTATTAGTAATTGTAGTTTAATGGGAAATAGATGTTTTGAATGTAACTTCAAATTGTTTAAAGATAAAAAACTGGGATTAATGCATATACATGGGTTTCTGAATTAGCATACAGTATTCTGTACCATAATAGATATCTAACACCTCTCAACAATAAATAGCTTAGCCTAATAAGAGAGCTACTAGTTTAGTAGCAAATATAAGATTATCAGTGTTCATGCAAAGAGAACTTGTCATACATATGGAGAGTAATGAAGGCAGCTTCATAGTGGCTCACTGGGGAAAACTCAGGTGAAATGCTACTTGTGTTTCAAGTCAAACAATATCATTGTTATTATATGCTGAAGATTTTGATTATGAGAAAATTAAAGAATATTTAAATTTTGCAATACTAACATGTGTTTGATTAAAGGCAAGTGAATTTTGGTCTCATTTTTTATGGTGGGCAAGCTTAGCCATGGCCTGTAACAGAGAAGAAGAATCAAAATAGTAGTTGGTAAGCTATCCATATAAAGCTTTAAGAAGAGCAGATTTTTTTTTTCAAAGATAGTGATGGCAGCTGTAAAGGATGTAAGGATAAGCCTTGTGCTTTCAAAGGTTTCACTTTCATTTTAGGTAAAGCTGTAGGCTGTATCAGTTGACACAATATATGTACCCTACAGTGTTCATCATTAAAGTATACTGGGGGAAACGCACCAGGTGTAATTTAATGTTCACATTTATTGACACATTTGTCAATGCCAGCTGAAAGTGGGACATCTCAGGACTCCCTATGGCTACTGGGTGCATCCTAAATGCCTTCTAAGCTTGTGTTGTGAATGGTTTTTATGTCCATAGTCTCCATGTACCATGTGGTCTTGAGGGCTGAGCTTGTCAGACGTTTTTGGCTATTGATGAATGAATATGGGCAGGAGTAGGTCTCTGCCACGAGACAGTTGCAGAGGTCATTGAATTACATAAGCAAGCCATCAAATGAAAGAAATAGTAGAAGCCAGTGATGCATGAGAGCATCCAGTGAAGAGCTGGTTGTGTCAGTTCCTTGAAGATTGTGTTCATGACATGACCACTCCTAAAGTACATCCAGGGAAGCCTAGAAATAATTGTAATAATGTAATTAGAATTGAGGTCTATCATCATTTGCCCAAATCTTTCTCCCAATGTGGTGCAAGGTTTTCATGCTAAACAGTGCTACTAGCCACACCATAAAATCTGTTGTTCAGTGACTTCGTAACTGTGAGGTACCCTTCTTTGATGACTGGCCAGGAAAATTCCCATATTTGAACTCTATTGAGAGGCTCTGGGCTGAGATAGAAAGAGATCTACTGGGGAAAGTATATCAGCCCACTCCCATGGTTTTAGGGCACCATCCATGTGTTGTAAGTTTTACCCCATTAATCTCTGAAGAATGTGTGTTAATCACTTCTTAAATGGTTGAAGGCTGTCCTAAAGTGCAAGGAACGACTTATTTTGCGGTCGTGATTTTAGAAGGGGGCCATTGGGTACTGTAATGACAAACTATAGAGATGTCTTGGATGTTTAGCATACATCTAATGTATGTCTTGGATGATTCACTTAATAGAATTTTGGGAATGTGGATGTAATAAAAGTACAGGGTAATTGCTGGGTAAATTGTGAACTTTGTGTTTAATTGCCATTCATCACTGCCCAGTCTCTGTTGTCAAGTTTGCATCTATTTTTCACATATCATTATAACTGCCTTAGCATTTCCAGAGATGCTCACTATCATCTTCAACTTGGACTAAAATTTCAAAATTTAGACAGGATATTATAGGTATGCAAATAAAAATTTATGATTTAAAATATGCAAATAAAAATTTATGATTTAAAATATGCAAAGAAAAATTTATGATTTAAAATATGCAATTAAAAATTTATGATTTAAAAGTACCCAGATTTATTTATGCTGATTTTATTTTTGGTGTTATTGTAAGTACATTTTTTATTTGTGAATATTGATTTGTAGCAGTACATAGAAAGGATTCAGTGTTTTAATATGTCTGATTTACAAATTAAAAATCTTGCATCAGGTAATCTGTAGCCAGATAATATAATGTGTTCATTTCTGTTTTCTGCATAATATTGATTTCTTGCATTCAAAGGAAGTAACTATGTATATTATTTGCCCTAAATACTTGAATCTCCGTATATTTCCACACATTGAAATAGTGAACATCTCTTACAAATATTTTTTCCATTATTTAACTGAAACAGTTGTCCACACAATATTTTCTTTGATATATATAGTATCTCCAGGTGCTGCTTGTCAAAGATCACACATCAGCACTTAACTCATTTGATTATGTAGTTACAGTGGACCCCCGCATAGCGACTTTAATCCGTGCAAGAGGGCTGATTGTTATGCGAAATGTTTGGTATGCGAATGAATTTTCCCCATAAGAAATAATGGAAATCAAATTAATCCGTGCAAGACACCCAAAAATATGAAAAAAAAAACATTTTACCACATGAAATATACATTTTCCTACACACAAAGAGAAGGATACATGCACAATAGTAGAGTAGTACATGCACAATATATATTGTGCATGTACTACTCTACTAAATGAAGAATAAATGACACTTACCTTTATTGAAGATGCAGCAATGACTGATGAGACACTGTGTCCTGGGAGTGCCTTTTCCTCCTGAGTACTGTAGGTCCTGTTTGGCATTTTCTTCCAGAACAGGCCTTATCACACTGTGTATGCCACTACGATTCTTAAATCTCTCAAACCAACCTTTGCTGGCTTTAAATTCACCAATATGAGCACTAGTTCCAGGCATTTTTCCCTGTTCACCTGGGTGTTAGTCGACTGGTGTGGGTTGCATCCTGGGAGACAAGATTAAGGACCCCAATGGAAATAAGTTAGACAGTCTTCGATGACACTGACTTTTTTGGGTTATCCTGGGTGGCAAATCCTCTGGGGTTAATTGTTTCTTGGTATTCTCAATAAGCCACACCAACAACGGTGCTACAGCAGCAGCAGCAGCTGACGGTGGTACAGCAGCAACAGACGATGCTACAGCAGCAACAGACGATGCTACAGCAGCAGCAGACGATGCTACAGCAGCAACAGACGATGCTACAGCAGCAGCAGACGATGTTACAGCAGCAGCAGACGATGCTACAGCAGCAGCAGACGATGCTACAACAGCAGCAGACGATGCTACAGCAGCAGCAGACGATGCTACAGCAGCAGCAGACGATGCTACAGCAGCAGCAGACGATGCTACAGCAGCAGCAGATGATGCTACAGCAGCAGCAGACGATGCTACAGCAGCAGCAGACGATGCTACAGCAGCAGCAGCAGCTGACAGTGGTACAACAGCAGCAGCAGCTGACAGTGCAGCAGCAGCTGACAGTGCAGCAGCAGCTGACGGTGGTACAGCAGCAGCTGTACCACCAATAGTAGCGATGGTTGATTGGGGTTTATTATACAACCTGGCCAGGAGACACGCACTCCACTTTCATACTTATCAATGATCTTTTTCTTCATCTCTATAGTAATTCTCACCCTTATTGCTGTAGGATTGGCACTAGAAGCTTTCTTGGGGCTCATGGTCACTTATTTTCCAGAAAAAATCACCAAAAAAACTGTAATAATACGAAATGTTCCGATTGTATGCTTGGGTGTTACCGTGGAGGCTGGCTGGTAAACAATGCCACCGGCGGAACATGTGAGCGTGGCTCAGGCCACACATTGGACGCGTCTCGGACGAAGGGCGGTGAGCGGGTTTTTGGGCGGTATGCGAGGCAAAATTTTTGCGAAAAAAGCGAGCGGTATGCGGATTGTACGGTATGCGATGCGTGCGGTATGCGGGGGTCCACTGTATTTTAAAACTAAAATACTGCCAGTAGGACTGTGGTTAATGAAAAAACAATTTATTCTGCACACAAGTTACAGAGTTTAAGAAATAGTAAGGTGTAAAAAACTTATGAAGAAAATAGAAAATTCAAATTATAAAGGATTATTTGGACTTGAAAATGTGTGATAAACTACATGACCACTGGAAAAAATATGTAAGAAAAACAAAAAGCCAAATTGCTTTGCCAATGTTAATGATGGGTCTGGTGATCTATTGAATACAAAATACAGTAGTGCATTTTTATATTTGTTATTTTTATCCCTCTGACTGAAAAGGTCTAGGGAATGTAGTCATGGTGCTGTTTTATCTCATTCTTTTGTCCAGGTGTGATTTCAGTCATTCCCTATTTTAAGAAGTTTAAAAAAATTATTATTGTTTTATGGGATGCATACTAGAATTTTAATCCAAAAGGCCTGTAAGTAAACAGTATTGTTATAATTAGGCTGTATGGTATTAACATAAAATCCTGTATATCAGACAAGTCAAACCTTTCCTTGAAAGTCATAGGGGTAAAGATTGTAAGATTAACAATTCCTAAATATTTCATTGCCGCCTAAGGAGCCTGATAAGAAGTTTACAAGGTCAACTTTTCGTATTTCAATGAGAACATGTTTAATATATGATATACAGTATTTTTACTTGGTGATAAATATTTTTCATGTTATTTATAGGTAAAGGCTGTTATCAGTCATTAAGTGATAGGAAAAATTGTTTTGTGTTATTCTATTCTTGATAGGATTTTCTTTTTAAATTATGTTATATTTTATCTGAACATATACTGTATGTCTGAAGTAACTTGTAAATTTAGTATGTGTGTGTCTGTACACCCACTTTTTTTCATCTCCATGTTCAGCTTATCTGTAATGAAATGTAATATCATGTGTTGCATGTACTGTGCTACACCACTGATGTAGTCCTTGATATTTTGATTACAAAAATATGGTCGGATGGTACATAATTAAAAATTTAATCCCTATCTTTGTGGTCTACAGTGAAATAGTGGTCTATAGTGAAACAGGCTTCATGAAGAAGTCCTGTTCTACCTCAGGTTGGGATTTCATTGGCAAGTTTTTTATTTCTTAAATGTTGATTTGAAAATTAATTAGAATTAGAGTTTTTATTTGAAGGCTCATCTGCTAGAAGCCAGAATCACTTAAATTGTCTGAGAGGCAGTTTGTAAATTATTCAACAATATATATATATTTTTTTTGTTTACATTTCTTAAGTGGGCTATAAACTGTAAGTGATATGTAACTTAAAAAAGGGAATAGCAATGTTGATGGACATGCTTATCTTGAAGAGAAATTTGTTATGCTGTGTATGTATTTGTAATTTGTTTTAAGGAAATGTTTGCTTATAAATTATTAGAGATTGCAGAAATAGTATTGCTGGCATTTTTAGCATACCATTGGTTTTTCAGCAATCTGTCTCATTCCTATTTTACAGTGTACATTATTTTAGGTTAGACAATATTAGGTTACATTAGGTAATGGAAATGGGCACATATCTCTACATTAGGTTATGTTCATTTAAAAAATTAGCAGATTTTAACAAAAAATTCAAAAAATACTTTGCAGGGAGGTACATATAGTATATTTAATGTACTATCAGCCTCATAAACACTGACAAAATGCTGTATGGAACTAATATAAAAACCAATGCTCTATTTATTAGAGAAAATGTTTTTTCAGTGATCTTTAAATTGCTTTTACAGTGGAACCTCGGTTTTCATGACTAATCCGTTCTAAAAAAATCTGACGAAAACCGAATCATACGAAAACTGAAGCAATATTTCCTGTAAATAATGTAAATCCAATTAATATGTTCCAGACACCCAAAAATATTAACAAAATACATTTATAGAGAATAACTATAGTTATACATACAGAAAACAATGAGAAATAAATATAAATGTTTAATGAAATGGATAAATGAACATTTAACATCACTTTTACCTTTCTTGAAGACTCTTGTTGGTGTATGGAAGATGGCAAGGAGGGGAGAGGGAGGAGGAGAGGTTATTGTTTGGAAGGGAATCCCCTTCCATAAGGACTTCAGGTATCAAGACCCTATTCAGGATTACTTCCCTTCTTTGTCTTTTACTGGTACTAGGACCAGCTTGAGAGTCACTGTACCCTGCCGCACAAAAAATCTGTCCAGAGAGGTCTGTTTCTGGCGTCTCTTTAAGATTTGCCTAAAATGAGACAAGGCATTGTCATTGAACATGTTGCAGACACAGCTTGCAACAGCTTTGTTAGGGTGATATTTATCCACAAAACTTTGCAACTCACTCCACTTTTCACACATGTCCTTAAGCACTGAAGAAGGTACATTCTCTCCTCTCTTTTCTTCCTCCTCTGAAACAATTTCCTCAGCTGTGGTCTGTTGCTGTTCCAGTTAAAGGCCTTGCAGTTCTTCAGTGGTCAGCTCTTTCTTGTGGTCATCTACCAACCCTTCAACATCCTGGCCACTCACATCCAACCCCATGGACTTCCCCTAAGACTCAATATTCTATCGTGTTTCTCGCCTTTGCTATCACAAGTCTGGCACTGGGAACTTTCTTTGGCCCCATGGTGGCTTATTTAGCAGTCGCACTCAATAAACAAGCACAAAAACAATGGATTATTACGAAATGTTTCAGGTGAACGAGTGGGGTGATGCTCACTCAACAAGAAACAAAGGCAGACTGAGTTACTCAGCACTTGAGTGGCCGAGTGACACGGACGTGTTTGGTATAGACCATTTTCAACTCTTCGAAAACCGAGCGGATGTACAAAAACTGGGACAAAATTTTGACGAAAAAAGTCATCGAAAAACGAATCCTATGAAAACTGGGGCATACTAAAACAGAGGTTCCACTGTATATACATTTATATGAGAATAGGTTGCCATTTTATATGAAGTTGAAGCATTCACTAGTTTGACTAAGATCACTGAACATTTTAGATCTAGACCATTTCTTGTGCTATCTTAGTCATATGTTACTTTACCTGTGCTTAACTTAAATTTAATTTATTTCAGCATTCTGTCTATTTTAGCAGAGGGGTTTAATATAATTTACATTCTTTGCCAAGATAGTTGCTTCATTCTGGAGAGTAACTCAGTATTTTTTTCTTAACATGTCGGATGTCTCCCACCAAGGAAGGGTGGCCCTAAAAAGAAGGAAACACTTTCACCATCATTTAATATGTTTACCTTATTTTGCACTCTATACTTCATACCAGAAAATTGTTTGCTGGTGGAAAGATTCTAGTTTGATCTTGGGACATGTTTCATATATTGAATATTTTCAATTTTCACTGGTTATACCATATTATCCAATCATCTCTGTATTAGTTTTATATGTGTAAAGAAGAGTCTCACAGATCAAAATATTTTTTTCTTATTTTGTTATGCTTTAATGACATTGTCATATGTAACATTTTAACTTATACAGAATACCTCTTAGTTTTTATTTGTATCACTAACACATGAAGTGCATATTTTATACTAACTACAGTAGTCCAGTTATCACCTAGCTAAAGATGAAAAAATAATTGCTGTGGTCTCAGATAAGCTTATCAACAACTAATTGGACCATTTTTTAAACCCTATACTGTCTGTGTTTCTTTTTTTACCTTCTATATCATACTGTTTTATTTATTATGTGTGTTCAGATCACCTCAACACTACCTCATTTCTTTTCATTGTTTGTATTATTTTGACTTTTATGACTTGCATTTATTTAGTAACATGAAGTGTTTTCTACAAATTAAATAAAGTTCTTAGCAGCTTCAGTTTTCCAAGGGTTTTCACACATCGGTATAGCAAAATATATATTTTCATTCTAATTATGTTTTACAAACATGCATACACATGTATAAGTCTATTTTGTATACTTCTACTACTACTATTACTACTACTATTACTAGTCCTATTACTAGTACTATTGCTACTACTGCTATTACTACTGCTACTAATATTACTACTGCTGCTACTGTTGCTACTACCATCACTACCACCACTACCACCACCACCAACACCACCACCACCACTACCACCACCTATTACCACCACCACCCATTACCACCACCACCCATCAACACCACCCACCACTGCCACCACCACCACCCATCACCAATGCCCACTGCCACCACCACCCACCCACCCACCACTACCCACCCACCACCACCTCCACCACCCACAACCACCACCAGCCACCACCATCACCTACCACCACAACTGCCACCCACCACCATCACCCACCACCACAACTGCCACCCACCACCACCATCACCCACCACCAACCACCACCATCACCATCACCCACCATCACCCACCACCATCACCCACCACCATCACCCACCACCATCACCCACCACCACCACTACCACCACCAACCACCACCATCACCCACCACCACCACTACCACCACAAACCACCACCATCACCCACCACCACAACTGCCACCCACCACCACCAACCACCACCATCACCCACCACCACAACTGCCACCCACCACCACCAACCACCACCATCACCCACCACCACAGCTGCCACCCACCACCACCATCACCCACCACCTCCACCCACTGCCACAACTACCTCCCACCACCACCACCAACCACCACCCCACCACCACCCACCACCACCACCATCACCCACCACCACAACTGCCACCCACCACCACCCACCACCTCCACCCACTGCCACAACTACCTCCCACCACCACTACCACCAGCCACCACCACCAACCACCACCACCAACCACAACTGCCACCCACCACCACCATCACCCACCACCACCACCTCCACCCACTGCCACAACTACCTCCCACCACCACCACCCACCCACTGTCACCCGCCACTGCTACTACTACCACTACACCACCACTGCTACTACCATTACCACTTACTATTCTTTCATACAAAGTCATCTTACATTTGCTGTCATTTTAAAAGAAACATTAATGTTTACATTGTAATTTTGTTTTAGTTCATCATAACATTCACAATCATAAGCCATGTTCATTTTGCATTCCATAGCCATGTCTATTCACTGTTCTCAGAATTTTTATATTTTCTTCAGTAGAATACATATTAATTCAGCTTGTATTTAGTGTAACAAACTTTACTCCAAGGCTCAAGTAATAATATGACTTTACACAGAATGTATATTTTTCTTATCAAACTTTTAAATTTCTGTGGTGGTGTTTTCACACATATTTGGTTGTCAGTCGTGAAGATTTTACCTTTATTGGTGTAACATTAAACACAAACACATTCACACAATTTCTGTGCAACTAAGTGTGACTTCTCTCTAAGAAAGTTAGTGCTCGAGAGTTTTCAAATTAAAAAGAATCTTGTGTACGTAGGTTCATAGAAAGAATATGATACATTGCTATTTTTTATTGCTTGTTTGAAGTTGTACTGAGGAGTAGCAGACTTCAGCAGTAGAGTTTTGTTCCAGGAGTTAGGTGTGTGCAAGACTCAGTTTGCCAGGTGTGTTTACTTTACCTTTATGATGGTAATTGTAAAAAGTTAAAAAATGTGTCTCTGAAAGTTAAAGTAAATGAGAGTATTGCACTGGTTTTCTTGTGTAGTGCTGCCTCTAATTAAGTACAGTGGTACCTTGACTTACGAGTTTAATTTGTTCTGTGACCCAGTTCATAACTCAATTTGCTCGTATATCAAATAAATTTTCCTCATTGAAATTAATTGAAATGCCATTAATCCATTCCAGCTCCCAAAAAACCACCCAAATTTTTTGGTTACAGGTTTTTAAATAAGAAAAATGTATTTATAAATAAATATTGTATACTCCACCCACCACCTTCACTGCTCCACCCACCACCATCACTACTCCACCCACCACCATTACTACTCCACCCATAACTATCAGTACTCCACCCACCACCATCACTACTCCACCCACCACCATCACTACTCCACCCACCACCATCACTACTCCACCCATAACTATCAGTACTCCACCCACCACCATCACTACTCCACCCACCTTAATGTTTCTAGAAAAACTCTGAGTGCTGAAATGGAGGTTATCTCTTCCCCGGATTTATATGAGAACCAAGCAAGGGACGAGGTGCCTCACTTCAATTTGGGATTAATGTGGGAGTATTATCCTTTCAGTTATGTCTTGGAAGTGCGTTTGGGATGGGATGAAGTACCTGACATTCCTCTGGATACAGAGTTGGATTTGACTTCAGATACGCCGCCAGCTGGTGGTGGCGTATTCGAAGCTTTCTCGTAACTCGAATTTTGGTTCATAACTCAAAGCAAAAAATCGACCAAGCGACAGCTCATAAATTGGAAAACTTGTAAGTTGGAGCACTCATAAGTCAAGGTACCACTGTATCTGAAAGATAATGAGGGTCATACTGTAGTGGTAAAAACAGGGTTGCATTGTACTTTTTTCTGTATATGTACCCACAGTATGCCAACATGCTTAGTCTTACAGGTTAGGTTAATTTTATAAAAAAACTCGATAGTCACTACCACTCAAAAATGTCTCTGCGTTTTACTGGGAGTCACAGGGATGAAGGTCACTACAAAGAGATCAAAGTCACATTTATTCCGATTAGATATCTGCTTGACACTGCCATTTTTTTTTTTAACTCTTGATGAGCAAGTTTTACCATTTATCTCACTATTGTTTTATAGTTTAAGCATTTGTGCAATAATACTTGGCAATATCTTGATGCTGTTCAAAACTAAAGTTGATTTCACAGGTGAGAATTATTGAGAGTTATATTCTTAGTGTTGAAGTTAAACAAAATGGTGTCATTGTCAGTCATTATATAATGTGATTATAGGTCACTAGTAATATTGTTGTGACCAAAAAAATTAACACATTTTTAAGAAGTTTTATTACAGTGCAGCTAATGAAAATGAAGGATTTTGCAAGTTACATAAAATATGTATCTTAAGGAAATTAAAACAAAATAATGATTAATAAATCTGTTGTTTAGCATACCAGCACTTTTGATGTTTATTTTCATATGGAATAAAAGGCTTGAAAGATGTGTTAAATAAGGATATATTAAAGTATACTAGATTACAATGACTAGCTCATGCTACTAGGTAAGAGAGGAAAATGATAAAGTTCACTTAATAATGCATTAGCTAGTCCTTAATATAACAGACTAATGGGGGATAATGGGTAGTCAGTAATGACAGTTGTGGTGGATATAGAGAAGTGTGTTTTACCATGATAGTAACAATAACCAATAATTCTGAAATCGACTAACATTGTCCGTTGTTACTTAATCAACTGACCTAGCAGACTTTGTTTTATATTTCCAAAGTCTGTTGTATAGAGGTCCGTTATATTGAAGTTTTACTCTAATATTGTCAAGACACTAAAGGACGCCTTTGTTTATACAAAGAACAAGCATCTCTTAAAATTGTTGAATAATTCAGTAGTGATAAGTTGGTACAGGTAAATAGTTGAGGGAGATTCAGGTCACTAGATTTTAATTGGTGCATTGCCAGGTTCTTTAAGTTGATTGGCTGCCCAGTGATGTAAACATAGCAATATTATTTACAGATTGCAGTACAAGTGCTAAGTTTGATTTAACTTAGGTACAAAGACACTTAAAGAACAAATTTATTATAGACAGTATTTAACTGGGAAGAGCTAGAACAAATTTATTATAGACAGTATTTAACTGGGAAGAGCTTTATGATACTTGAGTAAGCTCTTCCCATAATCATACCATCTATAATAGAGGGTAGCCCTTGTGGCTTAGCGCTTCTTTTTGATTATAATAATAATAATAATATAATAGAGGGTGGCTCAGCACCAAGGGTGTTTCTAATATACTTATTGGAAATACTTGTCATCCTACAACTTGATACGATTTCTTCGCCTTTTGTACAACACATGCAATCTCAGCTGCTTTTTCACACCTTATATCGTGGTGGTAAACAAATAATATAGGTAGGGTCTAATAAATCATCTGATAAGCTTAGCTTGGTATATTCTGTCCTTGAGCAAGTAAATGTGCACTCATGCATGCGTGTATGTACATACTCGCCTACTTGTGGTTACAGGGATCAATTCTCAGATCCTGGTCCCACCTCTTAAGTTGCCATGCTTCAGATTCACTCCTTTATTTCCTTGTGGGCCCAATAGTATTTGCTCTTAAAACTATGTATGGAACCTGCCTCTACCACTTCCTCACCAAGACTGTTCTACTTCCCAACCATCATGAGACTGAAGAAATATATCCAGACATCCCTGTACATCATTTGTCTTTAACTTTCAGCTGTATCCCAGCATTCCCATTTCTTGCCTCTTAAATAGCCTATCCCTGTCTCTTTTATCAGCTCCTAGAATTTTTTTTTATGATTCCCCAGTTATTTTGTCCACCAATGTCATTAGATTCATTTCCATTAGCTTCTACTTGTAGCTCATGCCCCTTAACTCAGGAACAAGCCTTGTTGCATGCATCTGCAATTTCTCAAGCTTCTTAATATGCTTTTTCATGTGCTGGTTCCATACTGGTGATGCATAGTCCAAGATGGGCCTATGTGTTGTTGTATAAATGGCCCAAAATGACTTTTTGGATGAGATTCCTGGTGGCTACTCTTGGATTTTCTAGAAAAGCATTGGCCACAGACGTTATTTGGCTGATATGAGCCTCTAGCAATATTCTGGGCATTATGCTAAATCCTAGATCTTACTCTTTGAGTGAAGCCTACAGCCTCTGTTCCCTAATCTATACCTTATCTCTTGTCTTGCTCCTTCCCTGATCTTCATGATCTTGCCTTTACTGTGGTACTATGAATGAATTCATGCAACCACTTATCTGACCACTCTTGCAATTTGTCCAGATCCCTTTGAAGTCTTTCCTTGTCCTCATCTGTTTTTATTCTTATCAGTTTTACACCTTCAGCAAACAGCGATATGTTTGAATCAGTTCCATCTAGAATCTCACTCACAAATTAGAAACAGTACTGGTCCTAATACCGACCCTTGCAGAACCCCACTAGTTACTCTTTCCCCATTTTAACTTCTTTCCTCACAGTCATTCTGTTCCTTCTCCTAATTTATGCTTTGTTCCTGCATCTCAAGTTTTTGGCCCAGCCTCTTGTGGAGTACAGTATCAAATGCCTTTTTGCAGTCTAAGAATATCCAGTCCACTCAACTAACTAATTTCTCTTTGCCCGTTTTTTTTTTCTTTCTCATTTATTCTTTTGTTGCACATTTGTTATCTTGTCATAGAACTTCAACAAGTTAGTAAGACAAGATTTGCCATCCCTAAACTCATGCTGGTTATTGTTTACGAAACCACTTCTCTCCGTGTTACCACTCTCCCCCTGATAAGTTTCTCCATTACCTTTTGAGGTATGCATGTCACAGAAACTAGTTTGTAAGTTAACACCTTCTGTCTCCTTTCTTAAATCTAGGGAATATATTTGCTGTCTTCCAGATCTCTGGTAACTGTTCCATACCCATTGACTTATTGAAGATCACCTAGTGGTTTAAATATTGCTTCTACACCCTCTTGCACAATCCATGAAGATCCCTCCTCAGGTTGCATTGCCTTCGATGTATCCAGGTCCATTGAAAGTTTTTTTTTTTTTACCTCTTTCCCTGTTGTGTGGATGGTAACTAGTACTTGTCAGTGCCCCCAGTTCCTCAGTCTCTCACTTAGAAGACCTCTCAAATCAGTTAAACATTTCATAGACTTCCTTGTCATTGTTCATGAGCTGTCCTTCCTTCCTTAGTCAAATTACCTAGTCCTTTACTGTCATTGTTGTTCTGATGCGGCTGTGAAGCAGTTTCAATTCAGACTTGGCCTTTGCCATTATGTCATTCTCAAACTGTCTCTCAGCCTTTCTCCTCACCCTAGCATATTCATTTCTGGCCAGTCTGCTCACTTCTGTGCTTCTCTCTGTCTCTGTCTAGGTTGGGGTCCATGTGCCATGTATCAGCCTCCGAGTGCGTATGTATGTAGCCTATAAGCTATGTATGAGCATCTTGATGCTTAAAGGAAGTGTAGGCATGTGTTCATGTCCATGGTTGTAGATGATCAGTACCAAGATGTAAAATAATAGAACAAGGATTGTATTAGATGCAGTCTGTGCACAGTTAACATTATTTCTGTGAAACATTAGCTGTTGTTGTTATTGCACATCATACATAATTAAGGTGTTTGTACAGTTATATTAGATCCTTAATTTGAAAAAAAAAAAAGTTTTTAATTATAAGAATCAATGTTTAAAATGTTTTTCTCAAGTGTTTTTTTATTACTGCATCAAACCCTCATTTTTAAGTTTAACATTTGTAAGCTTATGTTGTAAGTTAACACTGGTAGTATGGTATATTTTATTTGTATGATTGGTTGGGTTCAGAAGATGCACATGAGTTGAGTGGTCCCACAGAATGTGAGTTATACAAATACAGTATTTGATACATTTTCATTGATTATATACACATGTATTTCTAATATGAAAAAACTTTAAATGTGTGATGTGTATTAATTTAGAAAAATGTTTCAAGGAATACATTTGTTTCTAAAATATAGTCACTTCCCTTCCCCTCCCCCCCCCCCCCTTTTTTTTTTTTTTACTTTTTTAAACTTAGCAGATTTTAGAAACCTTACTAGTGGTTTGATCTGTGAATGCAATATCATTAATTTATTCCTGTGGGACCCACCAATTTTCAAGATGCAGTAGCTCTGGAGATATAATAATGCTTGTGAACACAGTGACTTAATGGTGTAAGTTCTAACAGTAAGCAGTGCCACAAGCCACTTGTTATAGTCAGCAATAGAGAAGTGCTATATGTGTGTGCTTGAGGTTATTACTACAAGATTGTTCTGTTTTGTGTGACTATGAAGACATTATAATGATCAGTGAAATAAAGAGAGCAGCTGCTGTTATACTACATGCACTTTCATTTTTCTCCAATTTCATTTGAGCACTTTAATAAATAGCAGAGATAATGTTTTGAAATTTAATGACTGGAATATTTTTGGCAATATATTATCATATATTGGAGGCAATTTCACATATACAGTGGAACCTCTACTTACGAGTTTAATCCATTCCATGACCTTGCTCGCAACTGGATTTGCTCGTTTGCAGAGTCAGTTTTCCTCATTTAAATTAACTGATAATGGAATTAATTCGTTCCAGTGGAATTCCAGTCACGAGAAAATACTTTAATAATTTCCCTAATATCAACTCTACAGCTTATTTATCTATCACAATTCATGATGTCTGCCACTGCTGCTTCATGTTGTCTGCCACTGCTACTTCATGATGTCTGCCACTGCTGCTTCATGTTGTCTGCCACTGCTACCTCATGATGTCTTCTGCTGATGTCGCCAAAGAATCGAACATTTCTCCTATTCTGAGCTCAATTTCAAGGTACTTTTCATCGTGAAACCAATTAAAATCATATTTATTTTTGTAGTATATCTTCCATTCTATCACATGAGACCAAATAAAATGAGAATACAACCATAAAAACCATACAAAAATATACTGCTAAGGGGAGGCTAATGGCTGAGAAGTGAACTCCGTTATTTATGGTCCGATTTCTTTCATTTTTGGTGTACGTTTAGAAGCATCTTTTCATCATACATTGCCCAAGTTTCAATAAGATAGTCCAACAAACAACTGAGATCCAGTTCCCTAGATCAAGAGCAAGAGTCCCCTCACCAGTGTCAATTAACCTCCCTTGAGGCCCGCTCGCATCTGGAAATTTTACTTGCGTCTGGAAGCAAAAAATCGACCGAGCAGCTGCTCGTATCTGGAAAAACTCACACATGGATGCACTCGTAAGTAGAGGTTCCACTGTATTTTTGTGAATGTTTTTTTTTTCACTTAGTTTTTTATGTTGAGGTATAGCTCATGTAATTCTGCATTAATGAATTCCAAATTCATTTCTACATAGCTTTCCTATGCCTGAAATAAATGAAGTTTCTTTTAAGACTTTTTTTTTTACATTAATATCTGCAGGGTCATACCATCCTGCAAAAGGGATGTGCAAAGGTACGAATATGCAAAAGTTAGTAGTGAGTGAAGGGAAGGGGTGTGTGAGGAGTAGGGTTAGTTGAGGTAGGGGTTTGTACAAGAATAAAACATAAGTCAGAGTTGGTACAGTGGGTTAGTTTGTTAATAATACAAGAGAGGGGCTGCATTAAATGTGGGATTTTCAGTGAGGAGGTCAGAGTGAGTGTGTTGGGATGGTGTAGGTATCGGAAGTGAATAGTGTGTGCCTGATGATAGGACAATCTATTAAGTTATGGTGGACTGAGAGTTCAGCTTGACAGTCCTCACAGAGCAGTACCATGGCATCCATGAGCAAGTGATGTGACTGATACGTAAGCATGAGAGTGCAGTCTCCCAATCCCAGCAGTTATGGAAAGGTTGCCAGAATCCTAAACATGGTTTGGTAAAAAAAAAGTTTTGCGATTCGACACGTACCAATATTATTGCCAGTGGGTGCGGAGTTGAGAGAGCACTGAAAAATAGTCCAACAAAGGAATAACTGCCAAATTAAGAGGTCATGAATGGCTGACAGAGTGGCTGAATCTGCTTGTTTATTGCCCTGACCATCAGCATGTCCAGGGACTCAGGAAAAAAAAAATTGTTTACCAGAAATGTGACATAACAAAAATCATTTCCGAATAGCTTTTAATGTATGTACAGCCTCTCCTCATTTAGTGACATACTCCTTTACCGACAACTCGGATTTACAAGATGTTCTCTGACCAGTATGCATACCTAAGTACAGCCTTTCCTCACTTAACGACGGAGTTCCATTCCTAAGACCACGTTAATAAACGAATTTGTCGCTAAATGAGGAGCATGCTATAATGGTAGTGGGTCTGTGTCAACCATCTTTGATATTTTTTTAATGTTACCTTTGCACCATTTATAACATTTCTGGTATATTGTTAAGTGTTTATACAGCATTGTACTGTATATTGTAATAAACAGAATTGAGGAAATCAGCTCTAACATACATTATTTAGGTATGCATACTGGTCAGAGAGCCCATCATAAGTCCGAGTTGTCAGTAAACGAGTACATCACTAAATGAAGAGAGGCTGTAATGTATATTAGAGCTGATTTAATTTATTCTGTTTGTTACAATATATAGTACTCTATAAACATTTAAAAATATACTAAAAACGTTATAAATGGTGCAAAGGTGGCATTAAAACAATATCAGAAATGGTTGATGGCACAGCAGCTGCTGCTGCTGTACCACGGTCGGCTGCTGCTGTACCACGGTCAGCTGCTGCTGCTGCTGCTGCTGTACCACGGTCAGCTGCTGCTGCACCACGATCAGCTGCTGCTGCTGCTGTACCATGGTCAGCTGCTGCTGCTGCTGTACCACGGTCAGCTGCTGCTGCACCACCGTCAGCTGTACTACTCGAAGATGTGGAGAGACTGTTGTTGGTGTGGCTTAACGAGAAACAATTACCGAGAAACAATTAACCCCAGAGGGTTAGCCACCCAGGATAACTCAAGAAAGTCAGTGAGTCATCGAGGACTGTCTGACTTATTTCCATTGGGGTCCTTAATCTTGTTCCCCAGGATGCGACCCACACCAGTCGACTAACACCCAGGTGAACAGGAAAAAATGTCTTGAACTAGTGCTCATATTGGTGAATTTAAGGCCAGCAAAGGTTGGTTTGAGAGATTTAAGAATCGTAGTGGCATACACAGTGTGATAAGGCCTGTTCTGGGAAAAAAATGCCAAACAGGACCTACATTACTCAGGAGGAAAAGACACTCCCAGGACACAAGCCTATGAAAGACAGGCTAACTTTCTTGTTTTGTTGTAATGCTAGTGGGGATTACAAAGTGAAGCCTTTACTCCTGTATCACTCTGAAAATCCCAGAGTGTTCAAGAAAAACAGTGTCTCATCACTCATTAACCCTTTGACTGTTTCCGACGAATAAATACGTCTTACAAGCCAATGTTTCTGATGTATTTATATGCATAAATTCTAGCAGCTTCAAATCAAGCAGGAGAAAGCTGGTAGACCCACATGTGAGAGAATGGGTCTCCATGGTCAGTGTGCACCATATAAAAAAAATCGGGGAGCCAGTGGTGCATTGTGGGAATGCCATTTCAGTTGTCCTTTTTCAGCATGTCTAGCGGTAAGAAATATGTGATTCCCTAGCAAATCTGGGACTCTTCTCTTCCCAAGTGATGCTCTAACACAGATGGAAGTGTCAGTGAAGATCAATTTCATGATGTCGAGGAGCTTGAGACCAAAAGCAATGGAGGAGGAGGAGGAGGAGGAGGGGAGGAAGAGGAGGAGGAGGAAGAGGAGGAGGAGGGGGGAGGAAGAGGAGGAGGAGGAAGAAGAGGAAGAGGAGGAGGAAGAGGAGGAGGAGAAGAGGAGGAGGAAGAGGGAGAAGAGGAGGAGGAAGAGGAGAAGAGAAGGAGGAGGAAGAGGAAGAGGAGGAGGAGGAGGAGGAGGAGGTGGAGGAGGAGGAGGAAGAAGAAGAAGAAGATGTAATAATATTTTTCCCTTGAAGCAAGAAAAAAATAAAGTCCACCCCATGACAGTGACAAGATAAGGGGAGATAACATCTGATAAGAGCTGACTTTGATGAGCGTAAACGAGGGTGGAGCTGATGAGGAAATATTAGATGACCATCGCCCTCCCTTTGTTTTTGCTGGTACACAAACATTTCTGTCTGTCTATTTGTCTGTCTCTCAAGCTCCCTGTCTGTCCATCTAGCTCTCTGTCTCAGAGAGAGCCACAAGACTGTGTCATCATCACGTTTACTCACATCTTCAAGCAGAGTATAGCACTTTGTCTGGATTTTTTGGGTTATCCTAGGTAATTTACACTATGTATACTTGTATTTATGTGTTCCTGTGAGACAGAGATAGACAAACAGAGAGAAAGAGAGAGACAGATTGAAAGAGATAGAATGAGGGAGAAAGATAATTAGATAGAATGGAGGGGAAGCAGCATCCGACCCCATTGTTTTGAGAGGCGGGAGGGGGAGTGAGTAATGAGGCAATATGTCACTTTGACAGCTGCCGACTCCTGACTCAAAACAATTATAAGCCACACACTCGCACACAAGACAAGGAGGAGGAGGAGGAGAAGGAGGAGAAGAAGGAGAAGGAGAAGAAGGAGAAGAAGGAGCAGGAGGAGAAGGAGAAGGAGGAGAAGGAGAAGGAGGAGGAGAAGAAGGAGGAGGAGAAGAAGGAGGAGGAGAAGGAGAAGGGGAAGGAGGAGAAGGAGAAGGAGAAGGAGGAGAAGGAGAAGGAGGAGAAGGAGAAGGAGAAGGAGGAGGAGGAGGAGAAGGAGGAGAAGGAGAAGAAGCCACAAGACTGCGTCATCAGGAAAGTAGGATGGAAGGAATGACACACGACCATTTACCTAGGATAACTACATAACACAACTGCCTGCTAATACTTTGCAGAAAACTGCTCAGACGAGGTGTTTTGTCTTTGCACATAAAAAAAAAAGTCCACAAAATGCACACACACTGGTTTTGTGTGTGAGGAGTGTAAAACACCATTGTGTATGACAACATGTTTCAAAGAGTTCCACAAGCTGCAGAACTTCCAGGAATATGTTCGGTGACTGTATATTGGTATATATATTATAGAACAATAGTAATAAAAAATTTTTTGTATTGTTTGTTTTTGTAAACAAGTTTTGTAAACAATATATTGATAATTATGTTTGTGTGCTTATTGTGTTGTATACAACGAGTGTATATATGTACATTGCACCTTACTTTGGTCTCATAGGTCACATAAGTTATGTGAAAAAATAAAATAGTGAAAAAAACAAAAAACCTTCAAATACAAGTAAACTAAAGTTTACCGGGTGAGCGGCAGTCGCTGCTGTTGCCATACACAGCTCATTTTCTGCAAACTTCACGGCTCTAT